GTCAAGAGTCATGTCTGTCGCTGAAAATCATCGAGCTGCGGTACAAGGGGCTGAAATGGGCTTTCTGAGGAGATTCGCTGGCCTTACGCGTCTCGACATGTTTCGGACTAGAGAAATAATGCGCGGGAGCGCTGGTGTACAGCCTTTGCTGCTCCAGATTGAGAAGTCACAGTTGCGATTGTTTGGCCATGGGTTGCAAATGTCTCCAGAAAGGAAAGCTAAGCAACTATTTCTTTCGAAACCGACCGGCAGAAGATCCAGGGGACGGCCAAAATTAACCTGGCACGAATATATGTACGGATGTATGTATGTATGTATGTATGTATGTATGTATGTATGTATGTATGTATGTATGTATGTATGTATGTGGTATGTATGTATGTATGTATGTATGTATGTATGTATGTATGTATGTATGTATGTATGTATGTATGCATGTGATGTATGTATGTATGTATGTATGTATGTATGTATGTATGTATGTATGTATGTATGTATGTATGTGTGAAGGGATTCTGCTCCAGACTCCAGTTGCCTTCTGCCAAATTTCAGACTCTGGCATGGGATGTGGAGCGTTGGAATCACTATCTGACGCGTCTGCCTCTGCGATCCAAAAGTAAAGGCCGTCATGAAAGATGATGAAGATGAATGAAGAGAATGATTTCTCTCTAAATATGGAATGTGGCTGAACCGTCTGCTGTTATAGTCACGGTGAAATTGCAAACTTGACATACAACGTCATCCAACATAAATGCGCAACATAATTATGAGTTTAACTAGAGAAACGGGAATCGCCTCTGCACTTTTATTAACATTCAAACATTCTCTGAATCTTTCACCCTCCTTTCCCCCGTCGTGCATATGAACCATCATCCTTCCATTCAGCATGCTAGAGATATGGAGAAAGTATCTCACCGATGTTTGTTTGCAGAATAACATGGACGATGGTTCTCTATCGTTCGGTTTATGATTGAAGTTAGAATATGCTATTCCTGGACAGACGTTGTATAGTCATGGGGCATACTGAAGCTTTAACTGTCACTCCTTCTGTCGATCTCTTCAGGGTATGTGACAGACGTTAGCGGTTTAGGAAAACGGTCTCCATCTTATAGCATTGTGTCTATGTGATCGTCTGATTTCGTCATTATTCGGTGTCCTTGACTGGAATAAGTAGGTTAAGTTTAAGGGTGCGTTGTTAAGTTATTAATCATATTTTTACGTCAGAATTCGATAAAACATACAAGCATCCATCCTGATGGGGTCGGGTGCGGCATCGGAATTTGAAACTGCAGTGACCACAGCGATCAGGGATGTGGAAACCGCTTGGTGTTGGCAGAACAGATACGTTCCTGTGAGATGTTATGCCGCAGGCATGGGTCATGTGCTCGTGGATATCTTTCATTGGGTACCACAGACATTGTTCTGTCCATGGCTTCCAATCTCCAAAATCCGGGCACGTCTGCTGACCTGAAATTCGAGCGATCTCAAATACCAAAATGTTCAAGGCCAATCACAAAGTTCTTACTGAAGATTGGCAGCAGGGCCACCAGAGCAGCGACCAACAATTTCATTGTGGAAGAGTTAGCATACAACTGAGTTCCAAGTTCAATTTTCGGCCTTAAATAGATCGTCCTCGCCCCAGATTGATGACGGACTCAACGGTTGTTGACTCGAGCAGCTGTTGCGTTACAGCGGCCGTGTCCCGTATGTCTTCTCCAGCACGCTAGCCGTAGCAGTCATCTGTCAACTATTGGTTTTTTCCCAGACAGAGTAAGGGAGATGCTCAGACTTTTGGAAGCTGAGCATGCTTGCCACCGGCGAACATTATGAAACATGACGGTTCGTGATAAACTAACTCAGGAGCCGACCATCCGTCAATTTGCTTTCTCTCTGCCGCACTAGATATGGTTCTCGATTTACCGTATATGATCAGGCTATGGCATGTATGCCTACCGTATGCACCCATGGAAACTCAGAGAGCTCGCCTTCAGTTTGGGCATGGAGCCGATAAGTGAACTATCTTACCACTGAAAGTTCGTTATACAAAACAAATTTGAGTACAGCACGGCTACGAATTCATTAGTTCGTGAAACTTCAAATTATCGCCAAGGAGCAACGGTGAGTAAATCATTTTTTTATGAATCTATTGAAATTTAGGACATCCGCCATAGTACAACTGAAGATCAAGTAGAAGAAATGAGTCAGGGCAGATACGTCGCTAACTTATTACTGAGTTCTTACTTAGGAATTCTTTTATAATGACTATTCCATAAAATGCTGTTTTTTGCTCATCCCAGCAATGCATATTAAGTGGATCAGTACCCATTTAACCACCATGCAATTAATATTCTGTAGTATGAAGGTTCTCATCTTACATGGTTTGATACCCTGATATACATCGGCCAATTTTCTGACAGAAATAAATGTCATCCGCGTTCGACATGGTAACGAAAAAGCAAGAAAAACATTTTTGCGCTGCATTTTTGAGGTCAAAAATAGAAGCTGAGGAAAATATTTTCTTTCCACTACCTCATGCAATCAGATAAACAACGTATGCTTCTTCCACCGCTTTTCTAAGCAACTCATCATCCTCCGTCAATATGGTAGGTCGTAAGGCGAAATAAGCTATCCATTAATGTTAATTTATGAGACAATACGAATGGAAACCGCGCATCTACAAGTTGAGTTTGTAGTTGTTTGAGTAACAGGTAAATGGAGTTTCCTAATCTCACTATTATCTTTTAGACCGACCATTTCAGGGTTCACAACAAGCTTTCCCGGTAATCTTGATGGCTGAAGGCCAAACCTTCATTTTGCCTCGTCCTTAATATCACTGATCTTGAAAATGCCGATGTCATCGTCATTATGTCATCGA